GAGAGAGAGAGAGAGAGAGAGAGAGAGAGAGAAATGGAGTAGGCTACTTTCATTCTCTCGATCTCAGTGAAATAGGGGCTATTGTTGTATTTGTCAGTGAAAGACTGATCCAGCAAACACACACAGTGAAATTGTGCACAGTTTATGAGTTTTAAGTAGTTAAAGCGCTGTAAATACTCACAATTGCCTCCCTCGCGACAGAGCGCATATGAGGTTAATGACGTCAGTAATAACCGGTTATGATTATTACTGAACCGATACCGAATTGTCCTGCATCGCTGTGCACCGAAGAAACGATTAATTTTGACACCCCTACTATATTGGCAAAAGTTTACTGTACATGCACATGAAATTTAATGGCATCCCAATCTTAAAAGTATGGTTCACCCACCCCCAAAAAAACCTTTGTCATAACTTACTCGCCCTTCACTTGTTCCACACATGTTTGAGTAGATTAAAATGCTACAGAATTTTTAAAATGCTGGAAATTCAGAACAATTGACTTTCATAGTATGTTTTTAGTGTGGAAGACTATGGTTACAGGTTTTCAGCTTGCTTCGATTTTGAAAGTACTTGAGGGTGAGTAAATTGGGGGTAAATTTTGATTTATCAATTTAATTCATATGTTCTGCATGAAGTTGCCCACCCTTTCTAGCTACAAGAGCTTCAACTCCTCTGGGAATGCTTTCCACAAGTTTTAGAAGCGTGTTTACAGGAATTTTGACCATTCTTCTAGAAGCGCAATTGCATCAAGAGTTCCTTTCAATGAAAACTAAAGGGCCAAAGTCAACCCTGAAAACAAGCCCACGTCATAATCCCCACCTTCACCGAACATTACGATTGGCACAATGCAGTCAGGCAAATATTGTTCTACTAACAACTGCCAAACCCACACTAGTCTATAGAACTGCCAGGTCACAAAGCATGAATCGTACCTCGAGAGAACATGTCTTTTTGATTTGAAAAGACAGCCCTTTGATATAATTTTATCAGAAACTGACTCGACAGAGATCCTCATTTCTTACTGTCAAAAAATTTATCCACACTGTTTAAGGAAAATATGTTAGTATTTAAAGTAAAATGCTAAATGTATGCCGAATACAACAGAAATCTGAATATCTGCTGCATTTTTACTAAAACCTGCCTTTAGTCAAATAACTAATGTGTAAATTAAATTAGCAGCATTACAATTTCAGATGGCTATTCCTCAGTGCTGGCACAATGTGGTGAGAGATAGACTTACTTGGTTTGGTGAGATTGCAGAGCTCTTGGGTGATGATTTTCTGCAGTCCACGCAGACCCTGGTAAGTGCTAGCATAGTGCACTCTTCCATTCCCTCCAGCAATCTCTCTTAATTGTGCCACTTCTGCATCTTTAGTACCAATAGCAAAAAAATTAACTTGGGAACTTGCCAGAGATTGAGGCCATGTTTTCAGTCCATTTAAATCATTAACTTTCCCATCTGTAATTAGAAAGAGCACTTGAGGTACATTCTTTGCCCGCCGTCCTCCATGCATTTCGGCAAAATAGGAGAGTGAATAGTTAAGCGCCCGGGCTGTGTTTCTGTTTCCTCCTAAAGGTCTGAGGCTTGAGATACCCCTCATAACATCAGCCTGACTCTTGTACTGTTGCAGGGTGAACTCTAATTGAGGGCTGTTGGAGTAGGTGATTGCACCAAATCGCACCCGTTTTTCACTGACAACAGATTTTCTTACAACATGCGTCATTAAATTGATCATCTCCTGGAGACCATCTATATTGGGCCATGCAGACGTATCCACAAGGAAGATGATGTCAATCAATTCTGGAGTCTTGCATTCTGAAATTATAGATAAGATCAAGGTTAAAAAAAGACATCTGTTAAATGTTGCATGTTTTAGAAAAAATTAACATTACAAACGCAGTTGTTTTGGCAAACCATGATGGTACAATTTCAAGAAAAGGAAAGCTACTCATTTTAAATGTGAGCACTTTTATTTTCCTCAAAATAAACAATTATGGGAGGAAAAATCATTTGTAACTTTATTTTTCTCTCTCAAGAGTTCACAATTAGGCCCAATCCCAAATCTATTTTTGTACCCCTTCCCCTTGCCCTTTGCCCTGAAGGGCTTCAAAATTTACCCCTAAGAATTGGGACAGCACTACAACACCTGAGCAAGTCATTATATGTCATCACAATCTCTTACTTCATATGATATCGACAATCGCAACTGCTGTAGTTATTCTAGTTGCTTTATGTTTTGGTGTTTATCTTCAGGAAATCACTAAAGGCAATGATATCATGTCATCATAAAGATATAATGTGGCAATAAGCTCGTAACTGTACTGTAGATTTACACAGTGGCCATATTCATCTGTGTAAACACACAAAAACATTAACATTATACCAGACACTGTAAAAAGCTCATGCCCAGCCACTAGACTTTTCTGACAGGGTATTCGAGTGTCATCGAGTGACAGAATGTTGTGAGACTGCTGTGCAGGAATTATGATTATGGATTATTGATAGTGAAATTTAGTTTTTATTTTGGCTTTTTTTAAGCATATCTGTAAAACAAACGCAGTTATGAATATATTAAAACATGTGCCTCTTTGTTGTAAAAATTCATAATATTGACAAAAAAAATACTAATTTGTGGATCTTCTTACTTCTGGGTGCAGCCATGCTGCTGTTGTAGCTGGTGTAATCAGGGAAAATTTCTTACACCTTGGCTTTGAGTGTGGTCCTGAAAAATCTCAGTTTGAAGGGCTATCTAGCCCTTCCCCTTAGCCCTGCGCCTTTAAGCTAAAAAGAATTGGAACACACCTAACCCTTCACGTGAACGTGCAAAACAAGGGGTAGGGGTAAGGGGAAGGGCTAAGGGGTAGAATTGGACCTTAGGGTGCTTTCACACCAGTGAATCGATTCAGTTGTTCCGAAACAGAAATTACAAATGTTACATTGTTGCTCTTTGCTCTTGGAGCGGTTCACTTTCACACTGCAAAGTTTCTAATCGGACCAAAAGAGCTAAAACGCGTCACGTGCGAGTAAACTCTCCTTACATTGGTCAGTGTCAGGGTTTATTTTGCAGCGTCCCGCTAAGCTGTCAGGAGAGGTGGTGGTTTCGTGTTGATTGACAGGGTGCGCGCGCGACGTGTCTGAGGAGAGACGCGGTGGGGAGGGGTGTGAAGGGTGCGCGACGATGCCTATTTGAGGACCGGGAGAAAGATGCAAGATTACCGGGAGATCATCACTCGTTTGCGGGCATCCGGAGACTCGCGAAACTTCCGGCCCTACTCATAATTCTCTCTTCATATAGCCGTAAGCCTATTACATATCCATAAAACACTGTGATATAACCGCGCTCGGATCGGATCGCTTTCTCACTGCAATCGAACCGCTCCAGGGTTCGTTTCAATCGAGCCGAGACCACCTCATTCAAGCGATCTCGGAGCGATTACTTTGGCGCGGAACAGAGCGCGATTGCCCTGTTCACATATGCCAATCGAACCGCGCTAACTGGGCAATCGAGATACGTTCCGAAACAAAAGTGTAGGTGTGAAAGCACCCTTAGATATTGTTTGATGCTATTTGCAGGTTTAGCATGCTGCCCCTGGAGAGAACCTTGGTCTCTTAGATATTAAGCACAGGGCTCCCCCTGGTCATTTAGCATAAAGGAGGTCTAAGATCAGGTCTCGAGAGCTACCCTGGAGTAGAAATGAAGTAGAAAAAGTGGAGGACATGATATATATGACATGATATACAGATGCCTTTTTATTATTGTAGAGAACTATATACCAAAGGGTATTGAAAACATAAACATATCTTTAAATACAAAATAAATAGAGAGAGGTTGAGAGAGCTTGATCTGGAAATTTAAAAAGCCAGAATTCGAACTCAGGAAATCTGAATCTAGCTGTAACCATTGGGCTTTTGAGCCAACCAGAATCTCTTTTAAAAATGTCAGATTTCACCTACCTGTGTTGCAGATCTTGAGAAGTACTTCACTGCTTAATTCTTTCAGGGAAGCAACTGCGTCTTCATAAAACACTTCTCCATGGGATCCAGCAATGGCAAGAATCTGAGATCTGTTAGCATGTCTCAGACCAATTGCATAAGTGTTGATGGAATTGTCTCTGAGGGCTTTAGCTGGCAGGGCTACATCATCCCTACTTTCTCCATCTGTAAGAGCTATCAAGAACTTTAAAGCACTGGATCGACCTCCTTTAGACTTGTCAAAAGACTGCAAAACTTGTGTGAGAGCTTTCCCAGTATATGTTTTACCCGTCACCTGTCTGATATTTCTAATTTCTTGTAATAATCTATCTTTATTATCAAATGCATTCAGGGAAAACTCCTCGTTTGGGTTTGTGCCATACTGAACTACTGCAACACGCTCCTTTTCCGATCCAATAGCAAACTTTTCTATAACATACTCCATTATATCTTTCATTTTTTCAAAGTCTTCAGCGCTAACACTATCAGACCCATCGATTAGGAAGACAACATCTGCCAAGAGGCCTTCACAACCTAAAAAACAAAAACATAAAAAAAACATGAAATTCAGCAATTGAAAAATCCTGTAACATTTTAGTTTGTATGTGTTCAAGGCATGAATATTGTTATATTCTACATGGCTTAAGAATAAAGTTTAATCAGACACAGACCCCATAGAGAATTCTAATAAATGGAAATATATGCAAATTGATACACAAAGTCATATTTGGTTTTCACATATCTAAAATTTGTCACATGTCCAACACGTTTCAAAATATTGGAAAAATGCCCATTTAATTATTTGTTTTTTAATCAATGGAATTACAAATAAATGTTTTAAAAATCTCAACAAAAAAATCCAAACAAAATTAATTCTGTCAGAATATTGTCAAAACACCCCCAACTTTAATTATAATTTGTAATTAGATGGCAAACAGATGAAATTATATATATGTATATTTTTTTCATGTAAGGATGCTAGACTCCCATGCAATCTGTCAGACAGTGCAATGGGTGCATCTTCTTGGCTCAGAAACATGTCTTCAACAAGTGGTGATATTTTCAACAGTACAGGCAGTGCGTAGACGAACACTCCCCACTACAAGACATACTGATCTGGCGCGATCAATTTTCACCAACAAGCAATCCAATCCACCTTTTGTCTGCTTTTTAGTCAGAATTTCACGAAAAAAACATGAAGCGATATAGCCTTTCAGTTCTTGTAAACCTTTCATTAAACTCTTATCTTCATTTAAAAACATAATTTTTATTTAAGCCGTACGCAGCTAAAATCAAATACGTTATCCGTGACCTTTAACACACATGACCCGCGAATTAATACATTTTTTATTTGACTTTAGGTCAATCCTAAATTTGTAACGATTGCAGAGAGACCACTTTAACATCATTGAAATCACATGTATGAAAGCATTTAGGCTTTGCTGTAAAATATAATGATGACTGAAGAAGTTGTGGTGGGTAAGTTGGAATGTGGTGGGTTTCTAAAGTTAATAAGGTGTTCTCTGTCACTAATTGTTTAACCTGTATTGATGCATTCAATGTAAGCTGCACGATTAATCATTAAACATTTGAGATCTCAACACCCACACAACATAAATTATAAATTATGGTGATTTGCATATGTTTATTAATGCTTCTAATTGCTCCATTCAAATCTGAAAACGCAAAAATCAAGAAAGAGATTCTGTTTTTAGTGTTTAAAGTTAGTAAACAAGTAAAAACAGTGAAATAAGACAGAAGTACTGCATGGGATAACAGTTTATAGTTTAGATAAAACCACTAACGTTTATGTTAAAGATTGACAATGTTGTCATGTGGAAAACGACGTCAAAAATTTAAGTTGCAGGCAGCAATTACAATATTTAACCAGTAGGTGGCAACAACCAGCCATCAAAAATATGCCACTGAATAATTCTTCAAAAATGATCATCTAGCAATGAAACAAAGTTTTATGAGTGAATAACTGAATCATTTATTGAAAATGAGACTAAAAATAAATATGGGCTATAATGTTAGATTTCTACATTTAGCGTTATCAGCAACAGTAGTAGTAACAAATAGTTTTTCACAGTATTGAATTTTTTTCAATTTTTTTTTTTTAGCTGTGCAATCCTTTGCCAGTAACATCACACAAAGGCCTCTTCACCCTTCACCTCTGTGTATTACTCCGCCCACATACAGCTAGCAAAAAGCAGACACTACAGTTTTACAAATATTACTGCTGTTAGACAACAAAATGTACTTTTGAGGCTTTTTTAGTCAAGAATGTAGTTGTTTATATTGCAACTACGCAGTTTATTTGTAAGAACAGTGCCTATTTTAAAGTATTTACAATTTCTGATAGAGCTAGTCTTCGGCCATTAGCCTGTCATAGTGTAGTAGACCAAAGACGGTTGACGTTGTCTATCCAAAAGATGACCCCAGGACCGCATAATAAGCCCTTGCTTAGATTCAAACTGTTGTGTGTTTTCTTGAGCCCGAATAAGAAGTTGAAAACGGAAGTGTCATGGTTTATAAGGTGGACAGGATAGAGTCAATAAGAAGCTGCGAATAAGAAGCTGGATTCAGCCTCGTTTCTACTTATCGCAAACACAACAGCAGTCTGGTAGTGATTGTGCTGCTTTTTTCGAGGTTAATTATTGTGATAATGTAACAGTTGCTTAATGTTTGATATGCATTGTGTATAAATGTCCCTTTAAGAGGACTTCTTCTGTGGTTGTTTTACCTTTGAGATGCAAGCACGCATGGTTTGGAGCTCAGTTCAGTTCTGGTGAGCTCTGAGAAGTGTGTGATGGTCGCTCTACCGCTGTATCATTCTTTTATTTCAATAATGTAACATTTTATTTTGCGACGGATGATTGAGTGTCTTTTTCTTTTCCTTTTTCCTACTCATTGTCATTGACTTGCATGTATGTTGTCGACAGCACTTGGGAGAAACGCATTAGGCCAATAGGAAGAGCGAAATAGTTTCTGTCTCCTTTTTTATCCCTTAAAGTCTCCGGTTAAATGCTGGGACACCTGGCACCTCTCACAATTCTGACGGCAACAGAGAAATACAGTAGACTGTAATAGACTGTAGGGAGATATCTCTGTAGACAGATGGCATTTCACGTTCAGCCTTATAATCTTAAAATGTGAGCAAAATCAGCTATTTTGTCATCACTAGACATTACGCTATAGACAATCATTTAAAAAATAGCTCTAAAGTGAGATTGGTATTAGTAACGGCTTCTGCTGTTCTGACGTCAGCTGCAGATGTGAATGAATGGCGGAAGAAAGTTGTTACTAATACAAAAGGGTTTTACACTCTCCATGTTCGATTTTCTTTTTTATATACAAGGTTGTGCCATCGAACTGTTGTATAAACGCAATG